CATCACGCTAGTCTCACCCCCCCCCCCCCCCCTCTTAATCTTTATATTTTGTATGAATTGGACCTTTACAACTTCTTTCTGGAGAAAAAAAAAATCTATTTCGGTAGAAGCCTTTCCATGAAGAAAAGTGTTTAAGAAGGGACATCATGCACAAGTGAAATGTACGGCTAACATTATGGAGAATGTTTCCAACTAAACGTTCTATGTGCATATTTGTTTTCTTTATAGGAACATCTGGATTTTTAGAAGCTGTTCTGTATTGCTATTCTGTATGAGTCTTCTTTTTACCACATTTGGTCATGTTTTGTTGTTAATAAACGATTGAAACATCAACATGTTCCTTTATAAGGTATGTTGAAGCAGAGTACCAGCCAAAAATAACATCAAAACGATTATCCTATTAAACAATAATAAAACCAGCTTTTGCTGCAGCATTCACCTTCAATCCAAAGATTTCACACATTTGTTTATTTGAACGGACACGGGAATTCATTCACTTTATGGTTTTAATGACTCCTACAGGAGAGTTTGACACTAGCAAGCAAAAAACCTGTAGACCAGCCCAGAAAAACCCTACTACCACCAGCATGCCTTAAAAGAGAACTATGGGATAGTGTTTTTCCCCATACTTCTTAAGGGTCACGGGAGGACATATACCAGCGTCCTTCCGTGACCCAAAGCTCAGTATATAGCAAGCTGCAGCTCGCGGTATATTAAGACTGCCGCAGCCAGGACGGATCCCGACGATACTGTCGAGATCCACCCAGGTGCGTGAGTGACAGCTGGCTCTGCCTATGATCGGGAAGTGAACGAGCGCCGGTATGTGTTAGCTCACTTCCCGATCTATTGAGCCGACGTTTCATTGTCTTATGTCGGCTTGAACTATGAGGTAGTTCTTTAAGCTTTTCTGGAAAAAGTCTGACCCAATTTCTCTAGCTTGGAAGTGACCTTTAGGCACTGGGTTCCAAGTAAGGCATTCTGGTATCAAGTTAATTTGCAGAGTGCATTCCATGTTAAGAGCAATTGGCATTGCCTTAGCGCTTGCCCTGTCTCTAAAGACTCAGCGGGACTGAACATACAAGTCATCTGCTGTGTGGAGAGTCGCATGCGCTATGCACTATTTCTTGCCATTCAGCACAAAGGAAGCATTTCTGCTTCTCCTGTGTTGCAAAGAGCTACGTGGAACTCAGATACTCGGTCCATTTTTGCTGCCTGCCTACAGTAAATGTGGTCAACTTCAGCCATCCAACCCTCACCTGCTACCAGCTGTTGGGTTTCATGAGCACCTGAGGCCTTGTCTTGTACCCTGAACCTTGCATTGCTCAACTTGCAGTCACAGTATATCTGATTGTAGACATGGGGGAAGACAGTCCTGGCTATCCCATCTTCGGAGTCTTTCCCAGCTCTGTCGGGTGTGGCAAGCTATCTATAAGCCTTTGAAGACACATGGATGGCTTGTATCCCAGATGCATGGGTGCCAGAGGTTGTTTTCAAGGGCTACAAGCTAGAGTTTCCATTAACACCTCCCCCCTGTCTTGGGGCTTCTGGATCAGGGTGTCTTTGCTGCTTTTCCTGTGGCAGAGTGGTTTTACTCCAACCTGTTCCGTTGCCAAACCCAAAGAGGACATCTGCCTCATCTTGAATCTCACAACTGGTGGAATTCAGCAGCTCTATCACTGCTGTTGACCAGGAAGACTTCCTGGCTTATTTGGACATTGAGGATGCTTTCCTGTAGGCCAGCATTTACTGCTGTTGGTCCACCTGCACTATCAGTTCATGGCCCTGCCATTTGGCCTCTAAACAGCACCTTGGGTGTTTACTTTAGTGCTTTGCCCAGTACTAGCTCTACTGCGTTCTGGTGGCATCCCTATAATCGAATTCTTAGAGTGTCCTCCACCTCCCAGGCCCTGGATCATACTTGGCTGTATGAACTGCGCCCTCAATCCAGATTTAACCGGTTGAGGAAGCTTGTCCAGCAGTTGTATGCACTTGAGATAAACAACGGCTAGCTAGAATAGACAAGGCTGTGGTATTGTACAGTTGAATTTAGATCTGGCAGCCTGCTAGGGAGATGATCTAGCTATATCCAAACAACCCCACCTCCTGAAACTCTGGGATGTAAATCAAGAGATGAGATTTTTTTCTTTTCTGTCGGGACTCCTACATCAACAGGATGCCAATAAAGGACTAAAATGAATTGATACCAGTGCTGAAGAAAGGAATACAAATTTAGAGCGCTGGAAAGGAGGGGACTATAGGTACGTGTCCTTGCTCACCAAAGAAGCCGGAAAGTCCCCGTTGAGAAGGCAAGCAATTGTAGATCTGGTTGATGCCATTCAACATTTTTCGGCTTACAGGTCCCAACTACGGCAAATGTTCCCATTGGAAAAGACAACTGGTAGGAATACAGCTTCTGAAACCTTTCTGGCACATAAACTGGAACTCTATGGGGATCTGCTAACCACCGAAAGGCAAACTATCCAGGTGTATGCAATTTTTAGCAAATGCCCCCCTACTTTGGAAAGTGGGGGTGCACCTTTGTGCTGCTGGTTTTTTTTTCCTGAGGGTTTAGCAGGCTCTTTACCCCTGACTTTGCATGTGGCCAGAAAAGCAACTTTGGGAGGCCTAGACATGCATGCTCCAGGAGTATAGAAACAAAATGAGACTTCACAGACCTTTCCCTAGGCTTCTTGTTCTAAGACAGGCGGTTGCTCTTGCCTCTAGCGACATCTGTAATATCAAGGGCTGGTCTGAAGAGATGATGTCCTTTTAAATACCATGTGGGTGAAGTTCTCCCTTGACAAGATTGTCAGACCAGCACTTTAACCACAGTGCTTTATGCATGTTTACAGACAGCCCGATAAAAGAGACAAGCCACAATGATTCCAACAGACTTTCACAGCTGAGGGCCTGCTGAACGCATCCTGGTTAGCTTGTGGGGACCTGGGAAAGTGCCTTATGTGGCAATACTAATGGCTCTGGACGTGGAATGCGCTCTTTGTCTAACTTGTTGCCAGAACAGAATCTGGAAAGTGCCCTACTTGGAACGTATTGCCCAAAGGTCATTTACAGGTTTTTCTTAAAGTCCAGACCCTTGGGTTCTGAACATGGCAATCCAAAAGCAACACAGTGGATTGCTGCACTAGATATCTGCAATTGAAGAGACTAGCTCTAGCTGCCATGTAGAGAACAGGCATGGTGGAAGAAAATGTGCCAGTAAAAAAAGTAGGCTAGTGTTTTACCAGCGAGGCTTAGAAAAAGAAGACATCCATTCTCCTAGATCACGAGAAAAACTTGTGTATACTGGTTGGGAGTGGGGTTTTCCTGGGCTGTCTTTCAATTTTTGATTGCCAGTGTCCAATCCACGTATAGATCGCAGTATAAAGCAAAGGTAACAAATTCCCCAAAAACGAATGTGGTGGTTTGGTCTTTTCTTTCTCATGCCTTATAAATGAGTGAGACCGGCCATCACCTTAGTTGACCAATACCGCATTCTTCTAGGTTTCTAGGTCTCAAAGTTTATAGCTCTAGGTGAGCTTTACTTTAAATGCAGTACAAATGCCAATTTGATAGATTTCAGTTTCTAATGCTGATCACAAAGTGTGCTGAGAGAATCTTCAGTGTTGTTGCGTCTTCCTTTGTCATCACTGCAACCTTCTAGGTGCTAAGAATCTTTTACCAAGCTGCATTTCGATGCACTGGTTTCTAAAGCATGCTGGGGGACAGTTGGAATGCTACTTCAAAAGATCGGATACCTGATGGAAATGTTGTACAGCTGTGACGAGAATTGAACATGCTTTTATTTTGGTAAAAACAATCATTACAGAAACCAAAAACAATTCCAGCTTTAAAAAAAATGTCTTTTATTCCATATTGATACAATATAACAATAAAAGATGTTCTGCAAGAATAGAGGATGCCAATATGAGTGAGTTTATAATTTTACATCTAGTAGGTGACAACCTCATGAAACAAATGCCCATTCAAAGGCACTCTGACCTCTAAGATTTGTGTGTGCTCGCAAACAATCTGCATCTAGACTAATAATATAAACTCTATTCAAATTTATTACAAGCTTTTTGTGCAGGGATCATTTACTGTTCCTACTTTTCCCTATAGACACACTTGAATGAATTTAGAATTAGGCCCTGACTTTGATCTCTCTTTTTTTTTTTTTTTTTTTTTCGTCCCCCCCATACTGGACTAGATTTTAATTAGAAGCACAAATCAAAACTTTGCTTTCATGAGAGAATAGGTATGGACTACAAATTCTAGATGTAAACTAAACAGCTTTGACATTAAAGTCTGTATGCTTTGTTTGAATCAGAGACTCAAAGAATAGAAGATATATATTAGGTCAACAATGGTCGAACATATACCGTCGCTCACTCACTTCTCGATCATCTCCCTGCAGAGAGCCATGACTGTCAGTCACAGCTCCCTGCAGGAATTCCCCCCTCCCTGCAGAGAGCCATGACTGTCAGTCACAGCTCCCTGCAGGAATTCCCCCCTCCCCTCTAGCGTGCGGTGGGTACAGCTGGCTCTGCCTCTAGATAGCCAGAGCCCGCTGTCACTCACGCAGCTGGGTGGATCTCGACAGTAATGTCAGGATCTATCCCAGCTGCGGCGGTCTCAGTATACAGCAAGCTGTAGCTCGCCGTATACTAAGCTTTGGGTCATGGGAGGACGCTAGTATATGTCCTCCCATGACCCTTAAGAGGACTATGAGAAGAAACACTTACCCCATAGTTCTCTTTTATGAATACTACGTATCTGCTTGCCTCTCTTCTATGTTCTGAGTCCCTGACCCCAGAATAAGCATGCAGACTCCAGGTCTATGCCTCAGCAACTACTGAACGTTACCAGGCAACCATTTTCAGAAGTAAAAGTTTGCAATGGCAGCCATCATAATCTCTCATTACAGGTTTCCTTTGATACCTGGAAAGCCAAAGCCAAACATACATGGTGTATGGGACAAGAAGCATGTCATACGTGAACACTAAAAATAATGTTTGGGTACATTTTTCAGTAATAAAAGGTGGATGCATAATGGTTTAGGACTTCCCTGCAAGCTGGACAGTTTTGAACCACCTTTGCATTGGCATACAATGGAAGGGGTGGGCACAGACATCTTTTGATGCTGTACTAGCTGAAAAGCTAAGCAAAGTGCTTACCTAAAATTACCTCTTTCCAAAAGCAGAAGACTCGGTTACAATTAAAAGAAACAAAACACCAACTAGAACCTGGCAACTCAACCACACTGATCCCCCCTGGCTCAAAAGATGATAAAGTGATATAGGGGTAGGCAACCTTGGCACTCCAGCTAGGGTAAAACTACAAATCATATAATTTCTCTGCTTCTGGGACTCATGCAGAGTCTTGTAATGTCGCATGGGATATGTATTTCTAACGGGTGGAGTGCCAAGGTTGCCTACCCCTGTATTATACACTTCAAGCTTGTGCCTGCCATTTGACTCTGAGTACATTGGAAGCCTTATGTGACAAAATCCTCATATTACGACTGGTTCTTTGAAGTTTACGAGGCTGTTAGCAGAGTTGGCACAAATCTGCAGCTTCTAAGACAAATGAAGGTGAGGGTTGGTTCAGAAGGCTTGGCTGAACAGTTGTAATAACTTCCACGTTCTGTATAAAGTCAGCCAGCTAGGACTAATATACGGAGGAGCTCACTGTAGTAGAGATAACAACATAGTATGGGGAAGGCCAGCACCCCTATTAGAGCTGCATGTGATTTCTCTGCTTTCATAATCCTCGTATGGTTCTTGGCTTTCAGGTTTGGATATAGGTAGTTATCTGCTATGAAACCTGAAAAGCTGGACACCTAATTTACAAGCACATTTGTGAGGTGTTATAACCATATAAAACCTAAGCAGCTTTGGACATCAGTCTCTATTTTTAAAGGAAAAATAATCTTTATTTCTAGTCATGTGACTTATTTTCCAACTTATTGGACCCAACCCAATATATATATATATATATATATATATATATATATTTTTTTATATTTATAATCTTTTTTCTGTATTTGTATCTTTCTGGGCCGAGCCATCTCTTTTAGCGCATTGGCTCATACTACAATTAAACCCTTGTCCTATTTACAATATTGTGTGCTCGTCAGCGCTAGTGTATCTGCTTTATGCATTATATGCATCATCTTGTAAAATGTCAGGATTGCCAATCCAATATCATTTTATAATCTTTAATGTCAGGCTATCCCATCCAGGAACATTTTATGTTTAATGTCAGGCTATCCCATCCAGGAACATTTTATAATGTTTAATGTCAGGATTTCCAACCCAATATCATCATTATTGTCAGGTTGAACATGGGCCAGTATTGTTGGGCATTGGACTTTTTTTTTTAACCAAGTTTCCTGCTTTTGTTGTATGTAATTAATTTAATAAAGCAACATTTCTGAAAGTGTGCTCAAGTGCTCTGGGTTCTACAATAGTTGGGAGTAAACACCTATATCTTGTGTAGGAGTAACAGTATATCTCCAGAGACTTCTCCTTAAAGGAGAACTATGAGGTGAGTGCTTTTCACTCACCTCATAGTTCTAGCCAACCTGTGACAATGAGACTGTCACAGGTCGGCTCAGTAGATCGGGAGGTGAGCGAACACATACCGGCGTTCGCTCACTTCTCGATCCTGTCACAGCTCTCTGCCGTGACAGGGGAGTGGCTAGATTCCCCCCTCCGATCCTCCAGCGCTGACTGGCGGAACAGACAGGGGAGGGTAAAGCTGGCTCTGCCTCTAGGTAGGCAGAGCCAGCTGTCACTCACACAGCTGGGCGGATCCAGACATAATTGTCGGTATCCGCTTCAGCGTCTCAGTATACCGCGAGATTTAGACCCCATTCACACCAGGGCCACAGCGTTTTAGCGATTGCTTCTTTTTTTTTTTTTTTTGTGTTCTTGTGTGTTTGTAATGCACGTTTCCTGTTCATATGCAAGAGCATTATAAATGTCATTTTCAGTTGTCCAATTAAAAGCAATCTCAGCTGCAAAAATGCGCGCGCGCCCCCCCCATTGAAGTCTAGAAAGCAAAACAAGCTGATAAGCGGCACAAAAGGAGCTCATGGACTATTTTAAACAAGGGGCGTACTGTTATGCATGATTCAGCACTTTGCATGAACATCCCCCATAGGAATACATGGGATTTCAATTTGCATGCATTTCAGCGCAACTAAACGCCCTGGTGTGAACGGGGCCTTAGTGATTCTGACAGCTCCTAAAGTCATGATCCTGCCTCTTGGTCCAGAGAAGGGTCACCAGTGCTGGAGAAACCGCAGGGGGTCAATGCTCTTTACAAATGACAGCGGGCATTTTTGAGGTTGAAAACTTATGAGGTTTTCTCCAGGTGTTAATGAAGCTGGCTCCTCGATTGGTCAGGCCAGCTCCTGGATTCCGTAATAACTTGTCCACTCCTGGGTTAGAGTGCCCTTAAGTTGCTCTGCAATGTTCTTACAAAAATAGGTAGCACTATTCTCAAAGTTGGAAAACATAGAAAAACGTAGTGAAGGTTAGTCTGCATAGAGAGCCCATCACTATAAATAGACATACACTCAACTTTGTCATCAAAGGGGTGGATTTCATGCACTAACTGCATAGGAAAAAAAACAAAACAAAAACAAAGCACACATAAGAAACAAAACCCAGTTTAAACATATATAGACGAATCTGCAGAACGAGGCTGATTACTTCTCACTTATTATACACAATTATAAAAACTTAGACATGTAAAGAGAACCTGCTGACAATCTAAAACACTGTCTATTAAGACTTACAGCTGCCATTCTCAGGGGTGGTCACCTCCCTCTCCGTGGTGCTGAATGAGTGCTTCACTTTTACTGCTAGGATCTACTAGGCTCCTAGGAATCTGGGCATGGCAGTGTCTATCAAGGCTTGTAAGCCAACTATTCATTCTCCTTCAAGTAGGCTGATTGTTCCATGGTTGCACTTGCAATGTAAGCAAACCAAAAACATTTGCGGGAGGAACTTTTTACTGTAGCCAATGCAAAGCCCGGTATAGGACATTTCTTTTTTTTAAAGTCCACTTTAGCTCAAAGACCCATTAATGTTGGTCAGCATAGCACACACCGCCCAGAGCTGATTAGAGATGCCTGCTAAGGCAAACGGCAAAACATTATCAAAAAGACAATATTGACGGACTCTGTCAATATCTTGATTGATGCAAATTCTTAAGCGAGCAAGGGAATTTATATCGGTGGCTTCTTCAGCGCTCTGTCCTGGGGTAGAAGTGACCACTTGTTCTTGAATGTCATGGTTTTCTTTCACAGCATTGTTCCTGGGTGTGTTTGGGGCCTCCTTCATCTCCATTTTGTCATACACGTGATCATCAGAAATCTCAACCAGATGTTCAGACGTCATCACCACTTCTTCCACGACTTTTTCTTCTGTCATCACCTCTACCATCTCTTCCTCGCCCATGGAGTGGTCCAATTCCACAACGGCATCCTCTACACCCGTGGAGGTTGTCACGACTAAAGTTTCTTGGCCTTGCTCTGTAGATGAGGCCAAGATGTACATGGTATTTTGATCTGGTGAAGGTTGACTTAGCATGACTGTAGCTTCATGGCACTCGTGAGGCAGGGCGGCAGTTATAATTGGAGGGACGACCACATATGCTCCAACAGATTCCACCAGGTCCTGTATAGCAAAATCTTTATCGGTGATGACCCTGTCACCAGGTTCCAACAAATCCAAGATCCCAGATGACTTTGTGATGTCTCTTGTTGATGCGCAGCCTGAATACAAGGGACTTATAAATATCACAGCTCCATGGGGTGCTATGCCAAGCAAGCCCCTATAAGAAGCATGGCTGTAGTAAATCTGGGAACTTGCATTGTCCGTACTACTTGCCTGCACTTTAATTTCAGCACAATGCAAAGTCACCCGGGCACGAGGATAGGAAGCTTTGAAGCACTCGGGCACATCTTGGCAATCGGTTTCTCGGCTGCGCCAAAGCGGTATCTCTCCGAGTACAACGTATAAATAGTGAGCCCATGTGATGACAATCCTGGTAACCCTGGTTTCTGAAATGTTAAAGCGAATGGCCAAATCTTTATCATGGAATCCTTGCCGAACTTTACATAAAAACAAGAAGAACTGGTCAATCTGTGGCATGGTTTCATATTCGGATAGCGACTGCTTTTTCAAACTTGCATTTCCTTCCTGTTGGCATTGCTTCCATTTCTCCGAGCTACCCTCCGTTTCAGTCAGGGTCACAAATACAACTTTTAAGGTGGAATAATCTTTGAAGCCGGTGTAAAAGGTAATAAGGTTCGGGTCTGTGGAAAACCGCTCCAGGAAGAACATGTTATTCTCCAACGCCGCATTACGCTGCTGCAACCTTGCTATCTCTTCACGGGCCGCTTTCAGCATTTCCTTGTCGGTCATCGGGGGCAGGTCATAACAATGGTCCAGAATGGACGTGGTCATTTCCGCTGGCTGGGGTGGCTTGCTGTTCTGCACGGTGGGTTGTGACGGCAAAATAGGCTGAAGGGTGTTTTTTGCAGAGCTAGTGACAGAAAATGAAAAATTTATTTGCATCAAAAACTGTTTATTTTCGCTTAAAGCTGATATTTAGGTAACGTTAAAAGGAGAACTATGAGGTGAGCGATTCTCACTCAACCTCATAGTTCGAGCCGACGTGTGACAATGAAACTGTCACAGGTCGGCTTTATAGATCGGGAAGTGAGTGAACGCATACAGTCGCTCGTTCACTTTCCAATCATCTCCCTGCAGAGAGCCGTGACTGTCGGTCTCTGCTCCTCGCAGGGATCCCCCCTCTCTCCAATCCTTCAGCGCTGACAGGAGGAATGGATAGGGGAGGGGGCGGGCACTAGATAGGCAGAGCCAGCTGTCACTCACGCAGCTGGGTGGATCTCCAAAAGTAATGTCGGGATCTGTCCCGGCTGCGGCGCTCACAGTATATCGCGGGCAGTAGCCTTTGATATACTGAGCTTTGGGTCACGGGAGGAAGCTAGTATATGTCCTCCTGTGACCCTAAAGAAAACTATGGGGGAAAACACTGACCCCATAGTTCTCTTTTAAGATACTTGAATGCATTTTTAAGATTTAACTCCTAACTTCTAGTGTCACCTTAAATATCAGGTAACAACTGACACTCACTCCTCCCCCTTCCCTTTCCGGTAACACTATTAGACTTCTGACAATAACAATAAAAACAATGAATGCCGGTACATTGACAGTGATTTACCCAGAGTTCTTCTTGGGAGAGGACATCTGCTGCTCTGTTTGCTCATTGGTCGTCCACTGGAATATGCATGGCACGCAATAGGGCTTCAGATTCCTTTTACCCGTTAAGGTCTTCACAAAATCCGATGGAAGGAAATGTTTGGAGCACACCCTGGTGCAGCTGGACACCTGAAATAGGAGGAAAGCTGTACATTATATTCCATGACTTGTGGTAGATGTCATGTTACATAAAGCGATAGCGGACCTCTCAGTAATTTTAGAAGTCTGCATGAATAAAAAGCCGGCAGCTCATGAGACAGAGTAACCATGTCTACTTTTCAGTAATTCTGTATTTTATTAAAAAGCAGACCTTAAAGTGATATTACAGTCAAAGGGTTTTTAAGTTTCAAATGCTGATGAAATCACTTACAATGGGTGTTGCTCCTTGATGTTTAAAATTTTAGCTGCTGGTCCCCTAAGCACTTGGCCCGATATCCTGTTTTAGTGTGGCTCTTTTCCCTCTTGCAGGGTCCTGTGGAGCTACCCTTGTGTGTGTGTGTTAGTAAGCTGTATGTGTCTTCGCAAACAGAGGCAAAGCAAGCCAAGCCATGCCCCTCTACTCCCTTCTTTTAGTAGATGGACAGTTGCTGGAGATTGAGCTGTCCCTTGTGATCTTGTACTGGACAGGAAGTTTAGGGAAGCCCAGCTGAGAGAGTTGGAGACATTTATTTGCTGTTCTGTTGCAGCCACTGATCACGAGGGGTCCATTTGTAAAGGATTAGCTGTGTCATCCATACAGCGAATATTTGTGGAAAGGCTTACTTTACCTTTCATGTTACAACCATACAGGTGAAACTCGAATAATTAGAATATCGTGCAAAGTTCATTTATTTCACTAATGCAACTTAAAAGGTAAAACTAATATATGAGATAGACTCATTACATGCAAAGCAAGATAATTCAAGCCGTGATTTGTCATAATTGTGATGATTATGGCTTACAGCTCATGAAAACCCCAAGAACCCCAAATCCACAACCTCAAAAAAGTAGATTATTACATGCAATCAATAAAACAAGGATTGTACATAGAACAATATCGGACCTCTGAAAAGTACAAGCATGCATATGTACTCAGTACTTGGTTTGGGCCCCTTTTGCAGCACTTACTGCAATTACTTTTGCATGATATTCTAATTATTCGAGTTTCACCTGTATGTAGGGTATAACCTGACATATGGTCAGGTGACAAGAATCAGCCATTGCATTGTATAGAGGGGTGAGCATTCTTTTAAAATGATAGATAAGCAAGCGATTCATCACCGCTCAAAATCAATTTTAAAACAAACGAACGATAGCGAGTTAAAATACAATCTATCAGAAATGATCAATAAAAAAAAACTCAACCAATCCATGTTATGATCAGTTCTCTGACACACACGCTGATATTCAATAGCGTGGCCGGGAACATATCAATGTGATCCTACAATCATTTAATGCAACTAAAATGATCGAATGAAATAAACGGCAAACCAAGGATCTTCCATTCGACCGATTTGGTTAGCTCTCCGTCAGGGGCATAACTACAGTTCATGGGGCCCCATAGCAAAATTTTAATAGGGCCCCAAGGCAAACCCTTTAAAATCTAAATCAAGGACAGGTAGCAGGAGAGCTGTCTGCATAGTCTCTTCCTATACTTCTGATAAACTCTTCTTTATGGGAAATGCCATAAGGGGTACAGGGTCAGTAGCAACTTCAGCAATCCTTCATGTGCCCCCCCCCCCATGCCCCATAGCAGTCGCATGGGCTGCCACGGCTATTGTTACGGCCCTGCTCTCCATCAACTTTGACAAGACGATCAGCTGTGGTGAATTTTTGCTGATGGCTTCTGATGGAGTGAGAGAATATCTGTGTGTCGCACGAGAACTGATCACAATTCAGATGAATTAAGCGACTGATTTTAATTGAACGTTTACATTTGTAACTAATAACTAGGGATGCACCAATATATCGGCCACGAAACATATCGTCCGAAAGTGCCAATTGTCTGCCGATACAGCGGTGCATCCGTTCTTTCTCTCCTCCGTGTTCCAGCCGGGAGGAGAGAAACTGCGACAGGTGGCCGAGTGCTGCGGGAGGAGAGCGCTGTGAGCGGCTGGCGTCTCTCCTCCCACACAGCTCAGCCCCCTGTCACAGATCAGAGGAGAGGGGCGTGTGGGTGGAGACAGCCAGCGCTGTCACAGGAGGCTGAGCTCTCGTCCCGCACCGCACGCTCAGCCTCCCGTCACAGATCAGAGGAGAGCAGTGTGGGCGGAGACAGCCAGCGCTGTCACAGGAGGCTGAGCTCCGCTTGCTCAGCCTCCTGTGACAGTCCATTTAGACCCCCAATATTTCCCCAAAGCCCCTAAAAGTAAAGTAAAAAATATTTAATAAAAATTTATAAAGAAATACATTAAAAAAAAAGTTAAAATAAAAAAAAACATTTTCGGTTTTGGTCTGAGTTTTTTAAATTTCGGTTTTTAAATTTCATTTTCGGTGCACCTCTTGAATTTTCGATTGATATTTATACTCGGCCGCAAGAAAATAAACTGCGCGTATTGCATCCTTCGCCATTTTAATCAATGATAGACGGCTCATTTGTGATTACTTCTGTTTAGATCAATCACAAATTGCTATGTGCATGGTCACCTTTGGAGCGATCAATGAAATTCCGCCATGGCCGATCAATTGGCTAGAGTCAAAGTCAACCGAGAGCTCACTATGATCAATGGCATGAAGGGTCTTTGGTTTCAGATTCTTACTCAATCTGATAATTTTAGTTGCAAGGATTGATCATATCGATATGTTTATGGTCACCTCTCAAGCTGATCATTTCAGTCGCATGGAACAATCAATAGAATGATCATATTGATACGTCTATGGCCACCTCTCAATCTGATCATTTTAGTCGCATGGATCAATGGAATGATCATATTGATACGTCTATGGCCACCTCTCAATCTGATCATTTTAGTCGCATGGATCAATGGAATGATCATATTGATACGTCTATGGCCACCTCTCAATCTGATCATTTTAGTCGCATGGAACGCTCGATCGGTTGATTGATCATATGGATACGTTTATGGCCACCATTACATCCTCCAGCAGTGTCCTATAAAATGTGTGCCCGGTATAATAGTAATCATGTTACCTTAAAGTTGGGTCCCGGTTCTCGCCGGATACAGGTCAGCCAGGTCTGGTGTCTCTGCGGCTCCACATGGAAAGCTGGGATTCTATGGAAGGAGATCTTCTTGTCTGCATTGTACCTGGCATCACTGTTGCAGAAAGGGACACAGCAGTGATAGGCAGCCATGGGGGTGCCAACAATCTAACACATGCCTGAGACACCCCAGATGCACCCTATGCTGACTTACTTGGCTCACTCTCACCTGCACTCGATGACCCCCTAGCCAGCAGGCTGAGCTGACCCAGCTAAACCCCCCACCCAACACTCAGCCCGTAAACAATCCTCTCCTCCAACCTTTCAAACTTGCCCGTCTATGCGCAGCTCTAGCCTCTCCGCCTCACAGCGCATGCGTCAACTGCTAACCGCGCATGCGCAACCATCGGATAACCAAGTAGTGTAGACTTCCGCTACCATCTATGCGTGTCATGTGGGGGGGCGGGACAGGAAGCTTTCGCGTTCCACCGGAAGACAGCTGGTAGTGCGCATGCGTGACACGTTTTGTGCGTTTTAAAAATACCGTATGAAGGCGTTAGATTCGAATTATAACGAACGCAACTGCCGGGATTAGAACTCTCCAACCTGCGATTCAACCTCAATGGAACGGCAGGGATCAAAACGTGATATTCCTGCGGAGGAAGTGGGGGCGTGGCTACGGTCAACGGCTGTACCCGCCCAGCGACTATAGAACAGCCAATCATATGATTGTAATTCATATTAATGTACGGTGCACGACTTTCCCGGTAAGGGCAGGAGCGAACGAAACAGGGCGCAGGGCAGGCGCTGTAGGGAACTAACAAGGCGCAGGGCAGGCGCTGTAGGGAACTAACAAGGAGCAGGGCAGGCGCTGTAATGTCTATGGCTGCCTGGAGTTGCCATAAATTGTAGATAGAGAAAAAGCAGGGAGTGAAGTATTATAGTAAATGAGGGGCGCAGGGGTTCCCCGCTCAGCAGTACACTGACTGGAGTTTCCATAACGTTCAGCAGCCCGCCATTCGAAGCATATCGCCTTTTTGTGCCTGTTGTCATGTGATCAGGGGGCGGGGTAGTGCCCAGATGATAGACAGCAGAGTTGTGCGATCAGGAGGTGGGGCCAGTAACTAGCCTTCCAAGTGAGCAAAGAGATGGGATAGGCTGGACTTGGAAATCCTATTGGGATCGGGGCGGGGCCAGTATCGTTGATTGACAAGAGAAGTTAAACATGATTGGCAGGAGAGGCGTGTTGCGTAGGAGAAGCCCAGCTGGTGGCCTGATAGGCTTGACTGGGGAATCGTAGTGGTCAGGGGGCGGGGCCAGTACCTAGATTTACAGGAGAGGTCGGCACTCCCGGGGGCGGGGCCAGTTCCTCTTATAGGCAGAGGCGTGTTTCATAGGAGTGAACGGGGGGCGGGGCCATTACCTTTTATAGATCAATTAGAAGTGAGCTGTACTCGAGTTATTTGGGGCGTGGCCAATAACTCTTTTTAGATGATTGATAGGAGACGTGTACTCTATAGGAGAGGACTGCAGGACAGGTGATCGGACAGGCGGACCGCAGTTTGTGGTCACTTGGGCAATACAGGTAGATATCACCTGCCCCGTACTTTATATCTCTGCCCCCTGTCCGCTTATGTATGTCTGTGGAAGTTGGTTGATGACATGGCGGGGTGGTTGGAGCATGTTAGGACACGTCTGGAGCAGGCTGAGCACATGTCGGGTATACATGTGGCCCGGATTATA